GCTCCTGTCCCCGGCCTGCCCCCACCTCCAGCCCAGCCCCCACCTTGGCCCCCGGCCCGCCCAAGCCTCAGTGCTCCTGGGGAGGCGGGATCTGGGGGCTGAGCTGGGGAAGTGCCCTGGGGGCCAGAGGCCCCAAGGCCCTCCACTTCCCCGGGGCTGGGCGTGGCCGGCTCACCGGACTGGGAAGTCCACCATGTCGTTGATCTTGTCCCTCCAGATGAAGCTGCGGAAGGAGAAGCGCTTGAGCTGGATGATGAGCACGTTGGGCAGGCGCCACAGCATGAGCTGCTTGGAGGCCTCGCGATGCTGCTTGCACTTGGGGCAGTACCTGGGGAGGCACGGCCGGTTACGCTGCGGCTGGGATCCCCCGACGAGAGCCCATGGGGGGTGCCCAGGAGGCTGCCTGGACGCCTCCCCCCCGCCCAGCGGAGCTGTGAGCCAAGGGGTGGCCAGCAGCCAGAGGCAGGCATGGGGCGGAGCAGCACAGCCCCACGGCATGTGGAGTCGCTGCTGCCCCAGCCGCAGGCCCCGGGCCGGAGCCCCTGGGGGAGACACTGCCCACGGCTCAGAGCCCGTCACCAGCCTCCCCCGCCCCGGGGCAAGCAGGGACCCCACAGCAGAGCCGGCCCCTCCTCACCACGCTTCCTCGGGCGCCAGCACTTCCGGCTTGGTGAAGAGGTTGAGGCACTGGCCCAGCGTGAAGTGGCCGGCCCTGGCCGCCTCGCTGGCCGAGCCCGGGTCCTCCACGCACTCCAGCTCCTTGGACTCCACCAGCACAAACTCCTTGAGGCGCTCGTTGTTCTTCCACACCAGGGCCAGGGAGCAGTCGTCCGTCAGCTCCAGCGGGGCATCGCCTGCAACAGCCAGGGGCTCAGACAGCAGCCCCTTGCCCCCTTCCCCCCGTGCCCCAGGGCCCAACCAGTGGCGGGGAAGGGGGAGAGCTGACCTGGCATCAGGCTCTCCTCCCCCCGGCTGGAAATTAGCCACGGATGGCTGCCAGCCAGAGCTCCCCCCCCACACCCCGCAGCTGCCCCAGGGAAGGGAGGAGCGGCCAGCCCAGCTGGGCTCCCAGTCACACCCATGCAGTGTGGCTGTGCCCAGGACCCAGGTGCCATGGGGTGCATATGGAAATCCACTCAGCCTCAGGACCTGCAGCCGGGGCAGAACCTGAAGAGTGCGCGCCAGCCGGGAGAAGAACCAAGGCATCCGGGCTGCAGCTCTGTGTTTCCTCCCCCGTGCATGGGTGCTGACCTCTGCCCTGTGGACGGGAGCTCCGCCCCGCCTGCGCTGGGTGCTCAAGGAGCGCACTGTTAGCCAGCCAACAGGCAGGTGAGGGCACCTCCGGGGAGGTTCCCCAGCCGAGCGGCCCAGGCAAGCTGAACTGCAGGGCCGTGAGGGCCGGGCTCACCTTTCTCCTCCAGCTTGTGCTCTCGGCTGGCTCCGTCGATCTTGTTGATGTAGAACTGGGCGTGGGCACTGAGCGCGTCGGGCGCATGCTGGTATCCGGGGATGGCAGCTGGGGACAGGCAAACGCAGCCACTCAGGGAGTGCCCAGCGGCAGGGCCCCCGGGCTGCAGGAGCCTCTGCGGGCACACGGGGCACTTCCAGGGGGCTGTCTGGAGGGGAGCAGTTCTGCCAACCCGGGGGGACTGTGGGTACCAAGCGCTCCTTCCGCCAGGGCAGATCATCACCGCCATTGCCTGGTGGGCCAGGCCGGGGAGCTGGGTTAGGAGGCGTTCCCCTTTGCTCCCAGGCTGTCCTGCGGCAGGGTCGAGTGATAGGGGGCTGGGGCAGAGCAGTGGGATGGGAAGGCGAGGGGCTCTGCTGGCAGTGCTGCCCGACGAGCACCCTGGCAGACAGGATGCCCTGGGCACAGGGCCGGCTTACCAAGCAGGTGCTTGGGGCGGCCACTTCGGAGAGGGGTGGCAGCTGTTCGGGGGACGGTCCCTCACTCCCGCTCGGAGCGAAGGACCTCCCGCCAAATTGCCGCCGCAGATCGCGATCGCGGCTTTTTTTTGTTTGGCTGCTTGGGGCGGCCAAAACCCTGGAGCCGGCCCTGCCTGGGGAGCTCTGGGGCGTCCCCTCGCATGGAGCCGGCGAGCCCAGGCACTGGAGGGGTTGGCGGGGTTGCGCTGGCCAGCGCCAGGAAGGCAGTGGGGCCGGGGATGCCGAGCAGCCCTAGGGCTCCTACCTTCAGGCTTGGGGCCTCGCTCGTAGGACGGCTCCTTCTCCCAGCAGCCCTCGCCCTGCGCCTCCAGGGAGCGCTCAGAGCAGCCCGAATCCGAGCTGAGCATGGAACTCCTGGGTACTGCGCTGGCCTCCCCCAGCTCCGGGTGCAGCTCTGGGGCGGACAGCTGGGGCTCCTGCCGGTGCGGGGCCCTGTCCCCATCCCCCGCTTCTGGGGCAGGGGCGGCAGCCGCACAGCTACTCCTTGCAGGCAGGTCCAGCTTCTCGGGGAGCAGGGGCTGCGGGCCCAGCTGGAAAGGAGGCTGGAACACGCTGACCGAGTACCTTGCGGAGGGAAGAGCCGTCAGAGCCGGGGCCGCGAAAGGCGCCTGCGAACAGAGTGGCCGAGCCCAGAAGAGCACACGCACAGCCCGCTCCAGGCCGAGCCCCGGAAGGTGCCGGAGCCCCCCTCCCTGAGCGCGGAGAGCCCTTCGAGCAGCATTGTCAGCGGAGACGCCGATGGCCACACAGACCCCCGCGCTTCGGAGGCTGCCCCTCCCCTCCCCCACCTCTCTGCCAGGGAGAGTTCAGTGAGCGGCCCGGCCCAAGAACCTGGTGCAGAGGCGACTGTGCGGGGAGCTGCCCAGCCGGTGCCCACGCGGTGCCCTTACCTCGCGTAGCCCTCCAGGAGCTGGGCCAGGCGGGAGTAGGTGAGGCGCGACTCCGGCACACTGATGAGGAAGGGGAAGCCGATGTTCTCGGGGCGGCACAGGACTTTGTGATCGGGCCAGTGCGTTTTCTGACACCCCCTGTAACACACAGACCACTGGGTCTCTCGAGGGCCCTGCCCCTAGACAAGCCAGCGCCCCCACCCCCCGCCCCTCTGGCCGCACGCCCCAACTCACACATTGCAGTAGCCCACTCGGTAGCACCTAGTGCAGCGCTTCAGCTTCTCGTCTTCTGACTGCTGCTTCTTCTGGCAGGCCGCGCACTTGCTGATGGGGACGCTGGGCACCTGGGGACGCTGAAGGAGAAGGTTACCCAGCGGCGTGCTGGCACACAGGGCAGGATCCTTGCAGCACCGTCCCCGCCGAGTGTGGGCCAGGGAGGTGACAGGTCCCAGCATACACTGCGGCCCCCGCCCGCCCCTGGGGAACCACAGACTGGGAGGTGTAGTGCAGGACTTCTCACGACAGGTTTTGGTGGCCTCAGAGTGCGGCTACCAACTTTTACTGGGGACTGCACTGACACTTTCCCCTAAAACACTTCCTAAACTTTAGGAAAACAATCACTGTGCACATCTACGCGTCCAAATCA